AGTCCCCTCCACTTGGACTAGTGTCAGTTGGTCTAGTATCGTTTGGGCTAGTTCATTTGGTCTAGTGCTTTATTTGGTCTAGTGCCACTTGAGCTAGCTTCATTTGAGCTAGTGTCATATTTGGTCTAGTTCATTTGTGCTAGTTCCCGAAATTTATTTGAAATATATAGTTCCCTGAGATGCTCGGCCATGTTTACCATGAAAAAGTTCGGTCTCGTTGTCGTATATATTTCGTTCGTTCGATAATGTATAACACACTTCAGATTTCAGATGTTCGGATGTTGGTGTACTTAGTTCAGATGCCCTTTTGCCGGAACAAACATATATAGAGTTTCTTCAAACCTTAAAGGCAACCCGCCCAAATCTTGATGTTTCGGATTTAAACGTTCAGTGTGATAGCATAGCCCACGCCACGAAGGAATTCCGCCCGCTCTATGGTGCCTTCCGCTATTCCTTGGACGCAAATTTGACGTTTCTGCCTGTTCCATGGCTTTGTCCAATGCCGAAACAACTTCAACTCTTGCCGGAACTGGGGGGTGGTTGTGAATTTGCCTAGTAACAACTTGTCTTTCGGTATGATATCGTAATGATGTTGAAACAGATCCTTTACATCCTTTGTTTTCGCATCGCCAATTTTGAGTGGTAATATTTGAAGTATTCTTTCGGTAGACAAAACCTTCGAAGCTTAATTTGTCCCCACCCCTTGATGACTTAAAAATTTCCATAGCTACAGCCGATAACCCGTAATTTGCGTCTATCACACAACAAATTTACCTCGCTTCAGTCGAAACAGAAAAGGAATGAAAGCTGCCTCGTGAAGTCGTACCGGGACGGCTGGGACCACTTCTGCGCCTGCCAGCTATCGGGCAGTGTTTGGAACTACAGCGGGCGCTGGCCGGCCGGTCCGCGCGCCGCCGTTACTGGAGGCGAATGAAGTGGTGTAAAACCAGACGAATTTTACGCTTGTAAAGCAAAAAACGAAAAATGTACACTCACCACAGTGTTCAGCAAAGTACTGGGAACGATATGGATATAATTCAAAGCTAGTACGATGCGAACTGTTGGTTCCCTAGAGCAGTATTTACATACTTGTAGGAGATAGGACTTTAACATTACGGGAGCTTCTAAACTGCGCTCGCAAAGTACTTGATTGTAAATATTTTCATTTAGAGGCAAAAATCTAAAAATGTACAGTCAGAGCGTTGTTCCCAATGCTTCTAGGTACACAATGAGCATAAATTTAGCTCGAAATGTCATCACGCATTGGTTCCCAGTCCAGTTTAAAACGACACTTTGTGCCGCAGAGCCTGTTCTCTTCCAATGGATGGCGGCTGGGTGGCGGTTGTAGTGGTGGACAAGACAATTCTTGAGTGAAATGAAATCATTTGCTTTCAAAGAAAATTTTTGAAGAACTTGTAATAATTGACAAATGAGCGTTAAGTACAGTGTATAATTTAAAGTTCATGGCAAATGACAAACTTTTAAACAATGATTGTGAACCCCAGTACCGCCGCGCGAGAAAGCAAGTACTCGACGCACGGTCTGCCCGCCACTTCTGAAAATGGTCCGCGGCCGGCCGGCCGCGACCCGACACGTTCTGTAAAAAAAAAATAACCGCAAAATCTTTTCCTCGTGAGTCTAATTATTGTGCCAAGCATGAAAATACACCTCCATCATGGAAATGAGTCTGCTGAAAGCTAGACGAAATTACGGCACTAGACCAAAGGCACTAGCTCAAATGAATGGCACTTTGGCACTAGCTCAAACGAAACTAGCCAAACTGGCGCTAGACCAGCTGAAGCACTAGACCAATTGCACTAGCTCAAAAGGCACTAGACCAAATGATGCTAGACGAAGAGAGTGGCACCCGGTCGATGCGACCCCCCTAAGGTTTTTCGAAGATAGCGTAAAAACGGCGGCGCGCAGCGCCGCCAAATTTGGCACAGCCTATGGGGCAACCTTTTTACATATGACCTGAAAATTTCAGGTCCGGGTGACCTTGGGTCAGGTCACCAGGTCAGAAAAACCGGTACAAGGTCATGGTCAAATTTCAATTTTCTTTTTGCACCTGTCCAACTTACAGTTTTGGACTGATTTCCTTCAAACTTTCAGGATGTGCTAAGTTCACCGAGTTGTATAACATATAGTTCGGGTTTTTTTTAGGTCACTGACCTGAGGTCAGTTAGAGGTCATTACGTCGTAATGTTAAGCCTATGGGAAAATACTAAATTCGGAAAATACTGGAGATATCCGCTTCGTTCTATCACTTTTGTGCTTTGAAACCACAGTACTTAACAGCAGGTCACTTGGTGCTTCTTTGTTTGGTGTACTTATCCATGGGTCAGGTCAAATGAGGTCAACTGAGGTCAAATGACGTTTGTGCCAATAACTTGGCACGTAATGACGCTAGAGCTTAACCCGCGCCCTGCTGGGGGTCCTGGATTTCCACGCCCTGCTGGGGGGGGGGGGGGGTGTTTGAACACCCCCCTTCTAACTCGGCTCCTGGGCCACGTAGCGATACGCGGAAGGCGGCGTTCGAAAGAGCGTCAAAAATAATGAGGAAATCACTTCGGTCAATTTTTTGGTCAGGTCAAAGGTCAGGTCACCAGAGGTCATTGAAGGCAAAATTTCGCAGATTTCCAGGTCGAATGTCGAAAATTTCCAAGAAGCCAACGCATAACTCGGGAACCAATAGAGCTACAGCGCCGCGGAAAAGCGCATTCGATAGCCCTATTAACGCCCTTTCTGTGTATTGTTCTCAGATTTGACCTAACGTCAACGGTTTTGCCTACAGGGGGCAAAAACTGCAAAAATAGCCGATTTTTTTCGGGAACAGTTTTTCTGCAATAACTTTTGACCCAAGCCTTGTACGAGCTTACTTTTACCGGCATCGTGTTCCTCTCGTCAAGACGCATCGAATGAACTATAACTTGACCTTGAAAGGTCAACTTGAAAATTTGACCTTAGGTCAAGGTCATGACTTGACCGGAAAGGGTCATGTTGCATATCAGTCGATCCGTATCGTCGAGCTGAACACATCTAAGGCGTTTTCATCGCTCTAGCATGCCTCTATCAAAAGTTATTTGCGAAAAACTGTTAGATACCATTCGTGACCTAAGATGACCTCAGGGCATAAACAGGGGTCACGGACACCATTTTCATGTTCAGTGTGTCTAAACCACTTGTAATTCAGTGTTTGGGAGTGTTTATAATGTCTTTCGTCCAAAAGAGGCGCATTTCAATTTTCTCCCATTGACTTATAATGGGGAGGTCGCAAAATTGACCTGACCTTAGGTCATCGATATCAAAATTCTGAGATATACATTTTGTACATGCTATTGCTCTTAGCAATCGCGTCACTTCAGGTGACCTGGTGACCTGACCTTGAATGACCTTGGTCTGAAATTTTCACAACATGTGTAGAATTGATGTATACACCGTTTTTGAGATATTCGCGAAAAACCACAAGGGGGGTGTTCAAACACCCCCCCCCCCCAGCAGGGCGCGGGTTAAACAATGGTATCATTGTGTTTCTGGTGATCAGCCGAATCGAATGATATGCGATATGATGCAATTTGGTTAACTTAAACTTAATTTATTAATTTAAGTTTACTTAAAGTTTAAGAAAAACTTAAAGTACACTTAAGCAAGCTAAAAAGTATACCATTCGACGCGCCTTGACGTGCTGAGTTCACTGGTGCTTTTATTTTTGCTCTATCTTAATTAGATCAAAAGTTATAAGCGAAAAACTTTTGACCTGTTTTTAGCGAAATTTTTACATTTATACCCCCCAAAACCCCACTAAATATTGATCTAGAGCAACCAAATTTGCACAGGGGCGAGAAATCCAGGGGGCCCACCTACCTACCAAATTTGGTGTTTCTAGGTGCCATAGGAGCCAATCGCGAGGGGGGGTCGCATCGACCCCCCTGCCAGGCCGTGTTATGAAAAATGCCCTGCCAGGGCGAGGGTTAAGCGACGCAAAATGTGCAATGCAGGTCCAGGAAGTGACCACGCACACCCGACCAGCCCCCATGGTCCACCAACACGCCCCACACCACTCGCCAGCCCACGCCAACCACTGAGACGAGCCCCTCCCCCGCGCTGGTCTGACGCAACAGCTGGTCTACAAAGTGCTCCACCCGGCGACCCGAGCCGATGTCAAACGGCGTGGGTAGACTGTGCCGCATAACTTCTGGATCATGCGGCACAGCCTACCGGTACCAAGCGGCTGCTGCCAATGCTGAGCCATAGGAACCCGATGGATAGAGTAGCGGACCATCAACCTGTACACGACTGTACATGGGCCCGTCTGGGGTGTCCAGATGGGACCCAGTTGGACGCCCATGACATTCCCATCTGGGTCCAAGGTGGGCAGCCCAGATGGGTCCCAGTTTGGTGCCCACTTGGGGCCCATGTGGGCCCCACTTGGGAACCCTGGCTGGGCTTGTACCGGTTTTTCTGACCTAGTGACCTAACGCAAGGTCACAAGGACCTGAAATTTTTAGATAATATGTAAAAAGGCTGCCCCATAGACTGTGCCAAATTTGGCGACACTGCGCGCCGCCGTTTTTACGCTATCTTTCAAAACCTTAGGGGGAGGTTCGCATCGACCCCCCCTGCCCCCTGCTAGGGCGAGGGTTAAACCTTGGACTCGAAATTCTTCCATAGAAGCGGAATTGCGCGATGGGAGGTTAGAAGGCAGGGTCAACGCAACAAGCTTAGCTTAGCGGGGGCGCTGTCCTAGTGAATCCTTCAAATCAAAGGGTTGACTAAATTTATTTAAAAAAAAGAACAAGACCGGTCATTTCGAGCGCCTGCCCTGAGCGTAGGAAGAAGGAATCAGATTCCTATTTAGTTTCACATCAAATGTCCAACAATTGACTTTCAATTATCAGTTATCTCGTCTTTATTTCAGTTCCAAATGCTCACCCTGTTTATTCATATACCCATTATTCTAGGTGTAGTCATTGGCGGCCAGTCTGTAGACGAACGCTGACCTGCGGTGTAGTCTCCGAAGCCGATGGTGGAGAGGGTGACAAAGGCGTAGTAGACGGCCTCACGGTAGTTCCAGTTCTCTAGCCAGCTGAAAGCCACGGCTGGCACGAGCACAAACAGCAGGAGCCCGAACAACAGGTAGAGCACCGTGAGCGCCGCCAGACTCCACCTGTGTCGCGCCAAAAACACAAACTACAACACCGCACACCAAACACAAACTACAACACCGCACACCCAACACAAACTACAACACCGCACACCAAACACAAACTACAACACCGCACACCAAACACAAACTACAACACCGCACACCAAACACAAACTACAACACCGCACACCAAACACAAACTACAACACCGCACACCAAACACAAACTACAACACCGCACACCAAACACAAACTACACACGGCCCGGCGGCAGACACACACTGCACCGAGAGCTAGCGCGCGACCCCTGGTAAACCCCTTAGTGTCAGTTTTTACCAGGTGGGGATGGTCACTAGCCTCGCAGAAACTAGACCTAAACAAGGGCCTTATCATGGGGGGTTAACTAACCCCCTAGTCACTACTTTCACCGGTATACCAGCCCCCTAGTCACTGAAAGCTTAAGCGGAATGTCTACATCCTGCAACCCGTACCTATTCACACTTGTCGAAGCTCTGCACGTCGATCAGTCGTAATTTGGAGTACTGGTGACCGCTTATATGCAACTATAAGGCGGCTCGCTTGTGAGTTTCGCGACGGTATCGATTGCTGGGGGTTATTGCTGGCCGAAAGGTAAACACAAATGGCTGTGTGGGGTTTCTTTAGGCTCTTGCCAACACTTCCCGCTAAAATTGTGGCTTTATGGTCACTCTTTTTAAAGTTATTTAATTAACCCGCGCCCCAGTGGCGGTCCCAGCCAAATTCGCCCTAGTGGGGGGGGGGGGGGGGGCATATGTTACCACCCACCTCCAACTCAAAAACTAAGAGGGCTAGAAAGACGCGGTAAAAAGCAGTCGATAGCTCTCAATGCGTACGTTTGAAAGTATTTCAGTCATTTTTCATCTTAGAACAATATTGGGGTCACTGGAGGTCATCAAAGGTCAAAATTTGCCAAATGTCATTATATTTTTCAGGAAACATGCATTTATCTCAGGAACTATAGTAGCTAGAAAAACGCATGGAAAAGCAATCGATAGCTTTTGAACTCTTCTTTTGTTAAGTTCATCATCTAGGCTAAACCGTTGGCTAAAGCAGAATCCTCTTGCACCAATGCTTGGGTTATTTTGCATCGTATACCCAGTCTAAGTCTCAAATGTAGCAATTTGCGTGCAAAATTTAGCAAGCACATGTAGGATTATGTATTGGGCTATTGCAAACAAATTTACCACCGTTAGATTAGCTTATTCTGAAACCGGTTTTTCGATTTTACCTAGCTTGGTAGTTTGGTGCAAGAGGCCTCTGGTCACAGAGTTCATGTGTGATGCATCGACGGTGGTGCGGAATTCACTGGGAGTGTACAACGAGATTGGAGTAAATTTCGGTAGCCGACACACCATAGGGCGGCGGTTCAAAGAATTGGCAGACACTGAGATGGAGGGACAGAGTCTGAAGCTTCGGCCACTCTGCCCAACACGGTGGACCGTGCGTGGACAGTCGGTGACGGCGCTCCTCTACCAGCTGCGAGTTGTGATCCAAAGTCTGGATGAGATGCGTGACTCCAAAGCAGCGTGCCTTGGTAACTCTCTACGAGCGGGATCAACTGTGTACGGTCTTGTAGCTGCCAAACACATCCTGAATATCATGGAAATGTGCAACAAAACCTGTCAGCCACAGTGTCTGCCATTCTGGCAGCGATCAAAGCAGTGGTCGATGAGCTCGAGTCTGAGAGAGAAGAGGGATGGCAGGTTGTAGAAAAGGAGACCGAAACAATCATTAAAGGGACCATCCCACCTTAACATTAGTTTTGAGTTGAGATAGCCAAGTTTGCGGCCAGGCTCAGAAACCACCATTTATCCTGGTCGCAACCCCCGCAGCTTTATGGTGTTCAAGAAATTTCTTCCCTTTACTTGCAGGGTGGGACCAGCTTAGTCCCTATCTCTTAACCATTAGCGGTTTTTCGATGACGTCAGCAGTCATGTCAACGCCCGCCATTCCTTGAACCCGAGTTTTGCTGACCTTGAGCTACCTTTTTTATCAACGTGAAATCCGTCGTCGGCGCTGAGAAAGCCTATTGCTTTACATTTTAATTTGAATATTAGAAGATACCCACCACTGGAACTTGGACTGATATTATACCAAGGCCGAAGATGATCAAGCTGCCTGCTATATCTGGAGCTTGGTGTTCAACTTCAACATGGAATAAAAAACAAAATATCAAAGCAAACTGGATATGGTACTGCAAGTTAAAGTCCAAAGAAATTTGAAGAGCTGACAATTGACATTAATTCTTTTCCTGCAAGGTTTCCATATGGAGATCACAGTCACACCATGAAGAAATATTTTTGATGTTAACAGTTGAAAGGGGATTTATCTTCCAGTTTTGACGAAAGACTCTGCTGACTGTCTTTGGAAAAGGATGTCGGCATGAGGTGCAATTGTGCTTGTGAAGTGGTTATAACTGGTCTTTTCACAGTATTAAATTAAATGTGCCATTGCAGCCAAGTGTGTTATCATGTAAGGTAAAATCAAAACTACAATGTTGGTTTTACGAGCATTGAGAAGGCTGGTAGGTAACACCTGCCTGTGCTCGTAAATCATGCTGCCAGAGTATTCTAAATTAATTTTATCATACAATTTTGTTGTCCAGAATGGTTGCACTATTGTTTGGTATCATATTATTCCATGTAAATATGGTAGTGTAAAGTCCGACCAACATGTTACCAGATTTGAAGCTGTTACGTTACCTAAGTACCTGTTTTTCACTGGCGTGGTGAATGTCACCTGGATTTTGTTTTGAGGTGCAGACCTAGTAACTCTGACTACATGGGTTTGAAGCTATTATCTATTCTGTTTTTACTGGCCTGGTGAATGGCGACTGATGTTGTCCGTGGATGGCACTGAAACAAATTTTGAGTGTTTTGTACAGTGTTTTAATACAATGCTGAGGGCTGAAAGTTGTCTTGTTTAGAGTGGTGAAAGTTCAGGATATGCCAGCCACCATGGTGGGTCAGAGTTAAATGTGTTGCAGTCAGTTCGGCTTCGGCAAGCACACGGATGGGCATACGCATCAAGACCTGCTCTGCCATACTTTCAGCCAATTTTACCTAGGTAAGTCTTTTCTTTTTTCTGCCAAAAGCTATGACATTGTGAATTTCAGCACTGTGGCCTGTGTGTAGCTTTCAGGAAAGCAATTCTAAATAAAGCTCTGATAAAGTGCAAAATCAGCAATGCAGCCCTCTATTACATTTTCTACAACATCTTACTTGTTCCTTGCATGGAGAGAAAAATGCAATGTTATGAATTCGTTTATTCACATAATTTGACAAGCATGCAGTTACCTGCTACTATGGCTCAGGCCCGGGTGACCTACGCCCGGGTGGCTTACGCCCGGCTGACCTACGCCCGAATTGCCTACTCCATCGAATGTCTACGCCCGGGTGACCTACGCCCGGCTGACCTACGCCCGAATCGCCTACTCCATCGAATGTCTACGCCCGGGTGACCTACGCCCGGCTGACCTACGCCCGAATCGCCTACTCCATCGAATGTCTACGCCCGGCTGACCTACGCCCGGCTAACCTACGCCCGAATCGCCTACTCCATCGAATGTCTACGCCCGGCTGACCTACGCCCGGCTGACCTACGCCCGAATCGCCTACTCCATCGAATGTCTACGCCCGGGTGACCTACGCCCGGCTGACCTACGCCCGAATCGCCTACTCCATCGAATGTCTACGCCCGGCTGACCTACGCCCGGCTGACCTACGCCCGAATCGCCTACTCCATCGAATGTCTACGCCCGGCTGACCTACGCCCGAATCGCCTACTCCATCGAATGTCTACTGCTCCCCTCCTGTCCGATTAACGAGTGAAGATTTCGCATACCAAAGTGACCCTTCCGGGGGAACCGGCACCCGCAGTCAGGTAACAATGGGAAGGGTCGGAGGGACCGACCGCCGCGCCGCATGGTGACAGGTGATTCCCGGGACGTCCGAGCGTCGCCTTTCAGACGCATCGCCGCCTTCCCCCCCCCCCCCCCACCGCGCCGTGCCGCGCCGCACAAAGCAGACGGACCCTGTCGCGGAGCGAATTACCCGACCAGGCTGTCATCATCGGCGGAGAGCCTGAACTGCTTTTTTTTAATCGTTGAGCTGATCAAGCTTGAGTAGCCATGCTTGCGTATTTCACGCTTCAGCCCTGCTGTGAGCCATGTTTTATGATTTCTCATTTCAGATCTTAACAATGATCTTAGATAGGAAGAACCGTGAGAAACGCCCCTCCCCCTTTGCCCTCGCCGGTATAAGGGGGGGGGGGGTCGAACAGCCCCCTCTCGGTTTTCGATAATAACTCGCGTAAAACCCCGCTGATCGCGACGGAACTTTCATTACCCTCGCGTTTATCAATTTTACACCTAACCTAACAATTTCATGACCCTGACGCAAATGACCCTTGACCTGTGACCTACTTTTCGAGACCATGTTTGGCCGGAATCGCGATTCGGCGTATGTCGTCTCCTCTTAGCCGCGCGTTTGCACTCTTTTCGTGATTTCAAGCGTTCAAACATGTGATATGATATTGCTCCTATGCGTTAGGGTGGGTGCAGGGGCGTCGCCGACGGGGGGTCGGGGGGGGGGGGGGGTCGCGACCCCCCACTCGTCAGAACCGGGGGGTCGACCCCCCACTTTTGGCGATGCTGAGTATGCTTTTTTTAGCTATCATGTCAGGGAAGTTGGTGTCAGCAACATCAACAAATACAACGTCAGATTCAGAATCGCTTCAAGAGCTCCCTAGTCCCTATTGCTTATAGGTCAATAAGCTGTGGGCTAGAACATCAGCATGACAATATGATTTTAGTCCCTTTTTATCCCTCAAATGAGCGAGCGTGTCAAAACTGACCCAAGCGTTCGTCTGATTGTCAAAATAATGGTTGCAGTCGATTCATCGGATGACGTATCAGTAACTACGAGGTACCTGGCTAGCCTCAGCCCTGCTACCCTCGGACCTGCCTGCATAGGGGAAATGGGG